CGCGGAGGAGCGTGGATTGTATGGGATGGGGGTGAGGGCTGGGTCGAGAGGGTTGATGTTGCATGTGGTCACGATGGGGCTCGTGTCGTTGTTTTTGGAGCCGTTGATAAGGGTTTTGGGGAATGTGAAGCGGCTTTGGAGTCTTGGGAATGGCATGCTGGCGGGGTGCATGGTGCTTACGGTGGTAATATCGGCGGTGGCCGGCCACGCGCGCGGTGGTTCGGGCCCGCCAGAGGTGGTGGAGCCACCGCCGGCGGAGGTGAGGGCTTACTGTTACGGGCTATTTGCGATTTTCGGGATTCCGCAGGCGGTGAGTAATCGACTCCACCTCTTAAGTAAAACAGAGTGTTGTCATATAAAGAAAAAACTGCAATATTGAGATTTCTAATCTTGAATTTTGTGGTGATATAATTTTGATTACATATAGTGTCCCATTTGCTCTAGCGTCAATCTATTCCAAAGACACTGGCACTGGCCAAGGCAAGTACTTGATTAAAATGCTTGAAGCATCTGCAAAACATGGATTATTCTAACTTTGTAATTTTACAATTGTGCAATATTTGACAGGGCTGGCTTTAGGACTTCTCAATCTTGCAATTGTGATTCCACAAGTAAGTTCTTGATTTTTCAAATTTTCATGTTTGATTCTCAGGCACAGACAAAGGCTAAAATGCATTTTATTTATTTGGAAAAAAAAAAAAAAAAAANAAAAAAAAAAAAAAAAACAGATGGGAGTGACTTTGATTAGTGGACCATTGGACTCATTGTTTGGAGGTAGCAATTTACCAGCCTTCATTTTAGGAGGATTTGCAGCTGCTGCTGGAGGTTTTGCTGCCCTGCAATTGCCAGATCCTGTTTGGGAAATGCCACGAGTTATATCAAGAGTTCTAATACCGTGAAACTAAAATAATAAAAAAATAAAATGTCAAAAATCTGTAGAAAATATATCAGTGTGTAAAAAAACTGCCACAATAGGTTAGACGAGTTTAAAACTTGATTTCATTATCTTCCTACTATTTTTCGGGTTCTCGTGTGTACATATTTAAGGGTGGAAAAAAAAAATAGGTGATTTTTGGTGATTGGAGTATTATTTAGTTTTGCTTGTAATGTTAGCATTTGTTGTTTTTATTTTTATTTTTTTTATTTTTTTATTTTATTTTTTTTTCTTCAATTCTTCTGATACAGTGTGTACAAATTTAAGGGTGGAAATAAAAATAGGCGATTTTTGGTGATTGGAGTGTTATTTAGTTTTACTCTGTGAAGTTATCAATTTTTTTATTTTTTTTTTCTTTTCCAATTCTTCTGATACAGTCCCACGATGACTATTTTTATTTATTTATTTATTTATTTTTGGTACAATCACGATGACTCTATTCCCCCACGATATAGTGTTCAAAGATCGTAATATCTTGATACGAAATGTACACACGGTTGGTAAGTATGCATCTAGTTAGTAAAATTCCAAACAACTTATGAATTGAAAGGTCCGAATGATCAACTCCGCAATCAGTTGGTAGAAATAGGTCTTCAACTTGTTCATTTGAAAAACCGGCAACAAATGGAGATAATTAACACCATGTCATATACTTGTGGTTAGTATCAGAAGGGTACAATGTATACTGTATAGAGGATTCGGTTAGAAAAGCCAGTTATTGGGGAATAAGTATATATAGCCAATGCCGGAGATCATTCATTCAGATGTCTTTCCAAAAGTAGTAGCATAATTCGAAAAGTACTCAAAAATTTACAGAATACAATGATCTTAGAAGAGAAGCCTGTTAAAATATAACTTGGATGTTCTCCACATACCATCAACTGCCCTCAGATTTCTCCAAAGCTGGAAATAAAAAGAGAAAGACAAAGATCCAAGTGAGTTCAAATCACTGTGTCGTGAGCGAAAAACAACAAATCCAGTAATTACAGTACACTGTCTTAGGATTTATTTTCTTAGCCGTTGTTTTATATCCGAAACTGAATTCTATAACAGTTAACAGCCCAGCTAATTCAAATTTACAGATAATAAGTGCTCCATAACAAGAAAGGATACTACTCAATCATAGAAAATATGGCGCAGAAACACAAATATATTGGTGAAGGAAAAGAGAGGGAGAGAAATACTGTTGTAGTTCAAAAGCTTCTCGATGAGATCAACGTGGGTCATCAGCATTCTTCGGCAGCAATAACGAACCAAACCCAGAGCATCAAGGGCATCCCTGTACAATAATAGGAAAAAAGAATCGAAGTATAAATTTGTTCTGAAAAAGATAATGACAAATACTACTCCCACTAAAACTTTAACATACATCTTTCCGAAAACTGTGATGAGCCTGTAATTTATTTAATTTACATGCCATAGTTACATTTCTTCCCTGCATTAAGTTCACCAAGAGTATGCTTGGTATTATGCAGCTATATGGTTCAAGTCTTCTTGTATTCTACTGTAGATGAACTTTTTTTCAAAAACCGCAACCTTATATATTTTCAGCATTAGCCATTAGCTAGATATCTGTTGTTAGCTCGAAACTATTTATTCGCTTACAGTAACTCATCAGATATAAGCTATCTTTTCATCAAAAATAACCAAGCATGCCCCAAGTCCCTTCTAAAGCCCCGAAAAGATTATAGTAAGGTGAATAAACAAGAGTAATCAGGAGAATTAAGCAACGACATCCCACCTAAATTTTAAGTGAAATTAGCACTTTAAGCATCCTATAATCATCATCAAATCTGCTAATTCCTCCTGCTAGAAGTATGGCACTAGCTAAGCTAAATAAATTCCACAATCTATTACTATCAACACGAATTTGAACCGAGTTAAACCCAACAAAAGGCATTCACTTTAAAATCGTAAACCTGTTGATAAGGACGCGTAACTCTGCTTAGGTTTACAAAAGGTTCACTCAAAGGTAACTGGCGGCACACAAAATACAAATAATTCCACTTCAAAAGAATAAAATACGCACCCTTCACTGTAATCAGCCTGGAGCAAATCAAGATAAGTGTCCCATTTGTTCCCAATCACCTGAACCAATTCGGGAAAAAAAAAAAGATTAATGAACAAAAAAGATAGATTCTTCAGTGGACAAGCCCGAAAACAAAAATATATTTTTTAACAATCGAAGCATTGAATAAAAGATATGAATATAATGACACATGCTTCGAGCTGAAATTGATGAGCACCTTGCCACAGGTGAAGCAGCGAACAGGAATTATCATCTTTGAATTAGGGTTTATGCTCTGAACAAATTCCCTTGTTCTTTCCTTTCGCTACTTAGCTCGTATCTATATATATATAATTGCTGGCTCATGAGCATTTAATAAAACTTATTAAATTATACCTATGTGGCAATATAAATTTTTTCCCTTCAAAAAACCGTTATTTTTAATTTATTTAACTTCTCATTTAATTATTAGATAATCAACACACTAATCACTTCAAAATTATAAAAATATTTTAAACTTTGATTTACTTACATTTAACCATATAATATGTTGACTATTTAACGTGATTAGATGTTATTGTTGTGGTTACATTTAAATTAACTTCTTTTGAAAAATAAAAAATGTATTTGAAATTTTTAAATAAATAATAAATAATTCACAAAAAAAAAAATACATACTAAAATATACATTACATCCAATATGATAAACGCAATTTAAAAAAATAAATATTTCAGCTCCTTTAATTGTAAATTTAGCCGGCAAAAAAGTGCAAGAAAAATCTATAATCATTATATGCATACAAATAATTTACAGTGCTTTATTTATATCTGTGCAAATGCACAGGCCGAATACTAGTTTTTATAAATGGCTAGCCTCGTCACGTGGGCTTTTTCAGGTACAAACATGGTCCATTAAACGTTGGGCAGCCCAAATATGTGTTTGTCTGATGTATGAGTGCTTATTATTATTTTTATTTTATTCCATTTTTTCAGTCTTTTTGTTGGAATTGGAATAATACTAGTTAGGGATGTAAATGGGTCGGGTCGGGTACGGGTTTTGGCAAACCCAGACCCGACCCGTATATAAATTACCCTACCCAAACCCGACCCGTTACCCGGTTAGTGATCTTCGGGTTCGGGTTGGGTTTTACCCGTCGGGTTAGCGGGTTTTCTTCGGGTAAACGGGTAACCCGAGTTCTTAAATTTTGGCTTTACACGACCCATCTCGTTTGATATGAAAAAATAAAATAAAATAATTTTACAATTAGTTATAATGTAACAAATAATTTATCAACTAAGTTTGACAATAAAAACTATAAAAAAAAAATATATTATTTTTGAAATAAATAATGAGATATAATTATTTAACTTTTATAGTCTATTTAATAATATAACACTTAAAAATTAAGTATTTAATTTTTTTATTGTACAATTAACAAAAAATGATAATAAAATAATAAAAATATAATAAAATTTAACCATTAATCAAAATTATAATAAATAATATAATTTTTAATATTAATAACACATGAATACTTTTATATTTATAATAAGTTACAAATATATACTTATATATATTTATATATAAAATTCAATGTGCGGGTAAACGGGTAGGGTAATCGGGTCGGGTAACAGGTTTTTCTACTATACCCGCACCCGACCCGACCCGGGGTTCGGGTAGCATAATTCTACCCGAACCCGACCCGAAGCCCGACCATCACGGGTTTACCCGACCCGAAAATGCGGGTAACCCGCGGGTAACCCGACCCTACGGGTTTTATTGACATCTCTAATACTAGTGTGTAATTGTGTATCATAGGAATAAACATTAGATGACCAAAAATTATAGAGTCCACATAATAAAGTCACAGATTATTTTTTGCTCAATTTATCAAGAGGGAAAAGATAATTTGCTGGCTAGCAAAACAAGCTCACACTAATCCAACTAGTCAATCAAAAACTCAAACCATCGCCATTACAATCGATCAGCCAAAAACATATCAAGTCTATAAGGTGGCCATCAAATTTTGACAGTATGTTATGAATAATGTTGTGTGGACCAACATTTGATATAATAATCAACATACTGTGGACCAAATTGATATAGGCTAATGGCAATAAAAATTGACTTCAAAGTCCCGGTCTTGTAATGCATTCAACAAAATTTTGGCTCGACACTAAAAGGTCTATGACACTGGACCACCTTCACTTGAATTTTCTAACCACGTGAAAGAAGTTTTACAGAGCTTTGAACTAATGCCCCCCAAGTCCACATAAGTTAATCAGTCTCTTCTCCCCAAAAAAATAAGGCAAAATCTCATGTCAATATCCTCTTTGTGGCTATATATGTTTGTGTGCCAACTGCCTAGAATATGAATCAACTCAATCACCTGCCCAAAAAATAATAATAAAAAAAAAAAATGGAGAATGGTTATACTTTCTTCATCTTTACTCAGCTAATTATAATACTCAGCAGCACCATTAACAGTAAAACTTACTTAGCCGCCACAACTGACAAAAACTCACTCGTTAAATTCAAAACTTCCATCACCTCCGATCCTTACCGTCTCTTGGCCACAAAATGGTCAACCGACACGAATTCCTCCGTTTGTCAATGGATTGGTGTTTCCTGCAGCGCCAAACACAATAACAGAGTCACGGGACTTAATATTTCCGGTTTTGGCCTCGGAGGAACTCTGTCCCCACATCTTGGGAACTTGACGTTTTTAAGATACTTAGACATCAGTTATAATATTTTCACGGGGCCCATACCCCGTGAGCTGTCTCGTCTGAGCCGCCTGAGGTCTATATACCTTTCTAGTAACAACTTGACAGGTACACCGTTTTTGTTAGTTGCATAGTCAATTCATCATTTGATCAACAGACAAAAAATGAAACGAAACAAAACTAATACTCCAAAACATGTTCTATGATGTTTTGCTATTTTTTCTTAGATAAATGAGAATAACAATGAACATACATCAAAACCATGAGTTATATGATGTTTTGCTATTTTTACTTAAAATGAGGAAATATTTGGTATGAGTTGCATAAGATATTGCTCAAATTTTTTATGATATAATAAAATCTAATATTTCGCAGGCTCCATACCCCAAGAGCTGTCCCGCTTGCAAGGCCTGCAAATGCTATTTTTAGATAACAACCAGTTAACGGGCTCCATTCCACGTGGCATCTTCAGTCTTCCATCTATTAGAATGATGAGGATTTCGAACAATTACCTCTCGGGTATGCTTCCAAGTGATGATATGTGCAACAATCTCCCCAACCTCACTAAGCTTTCCGTGTCGCTCAATCAATTGGAGGGCCAAATTCCACCAAATATAGGCAACTGCACAAAGCTTGAGATCCTGTCGTTATCCTATAACCGTTTCAATGGGGAAATCCCAAGTGAAATTGCAAGTTTGAGCATGCTCACGGAGTTGTACCTGGGCTATAACAACTTGAAAGGTATATATATAGAATTTGGTTCAAATGAACCAAGTCTTAGTGTGAGAACTGTGAGAACCGCTATTTTTAATTGTGCGTAGTGCATATGATTGAGTGTGTTTGGTGCTATTTTTAACCAGAATGAATTTTATTAAAAATAACAACACAATTTATCTTAGTATTTGTGAAAATGATAGCATTATCTAATTTTTAAAAATAGCATCATACACAATTAAAAATAGCATCAAATACGATTGTCACACTAGGACTAGTTTTTATATGAACCAGTCACTATGTATATATATATATATATAACACAAAAGAAGATGTGCCTGCGTTATTGTAACTGGCAAACCAAGCCATTTTCAGGAGGAATTCCCCCAGAATTTGGAAACCTTTCACGGCTACAGATATTAAGCATCAGTAATGCTTCTCTCACAGGTAGGCTTGTAAACAAATCAAACTTTTTTGATTCGATTCGATATTCGAATTCGATATTCGTGATTTGAATTCGAAATATTCGAATTCGAATAATATTTTATATTCGAAAGTTAAACGAATCCGAATTCAAATTTGGAGATATTCGATTCGAAATTCGAATATTCGATTCGTTAACAATAATTATATAAATTTTATAAATTGTATATAGTATACATTTTGTTTATAATATATATGTATATATATATATTGGTATATTTCTACTATTTTTATGACATAAAAATTAAAACATTATAATTAACAAATTTTCCTAAAAATATATGAAAAATAAAAATTATTTTTTGTAATTATAATATTTTTTAATTATATTTTTTTTGAAAACGAATTCGAATCGAATCGAATATGTTCGAATATTCTAAACGAATCGAATACGAATCAAAAAATGAGTTCGTTAACGAATCGAATACGAATTCGAATCTTCGAATATTTTAACGAATCCGAATCGAATCTCTGAGTATTCGCTTTGATTCGATTCGTTTACAACCCTACTCACAGGCAAGTAACATTCTACTAACCCTTTTTATATCTTATTATTATCAACACATTATTTTCTTTGTTGAATAATCAGGATCATGCATGATTAGATTATTTGATCATGAATAACTGTATTATAACACTATTTCTACAAATATCATTCAAACTTCAAAGAGTTCAATTTCTTTTCTTAAGTTTTTTCATTACAGTATATCACACTATTTTGTACAATTAGATTAGCCACCAGTTTACTTATCAAAATATTCACTGTTATTTTTCAATATAGGAGAACAGATTAAGACCATTTTTATAAAATTGAGGCAACTAAATAAAAGATTAAATTCATCTAGCAATCGGAGGATGGAGAGATATATACATGCAATTCACAATTTAGATACTCGGTTGTGGCCAATTACTAATTATCTCCATTGGTGATTGACATATATTGTTGGATTCTTCAAGAATGATATTTTCTGAAAAGTATAAAATATGATTAACCTCTAGAATTTAGAGTAACGAAGTAAGTGAAGATGAAATTTGGGGGTAAAAAAATATGAAAAATATATGAATTGTTAATACCAAAAAATAAAAATTCCCTCATACTAATATTTCCCTGTTAACCAGGGTCAATCGTGAATAAAGGTCCACCATGGGACATGTATCAACTTCTGTCATTTAGATTTCTCATGTACACTTTTTTTTTTCTTTTTTTTTTTTTNCTTTCATTTCATCATGTTTTTGTTTACATAATTTACAGGGTCAATACCAAAACAAATTGTAAATTGTACTTCCTTGAAGAAAGTATTCCTTTTTGACAATTATTTGACAGGTATGAGCTATTTTTGTTTGATTTCATGCTAATTCACCATTTCTTTAGCAAATGACAAAATAATTCTACCGTCTTCAGACTTATATGTTCTCAACCTAACCAGTGACCTATTTATGGTCTTAGCATTCACTAAAATTTGACTTTAACAATGATGTAGTCTTAATTAATTAAGATAAATTGCAATTTTCGTCCCAATTTACAAAATTAGAAAATGACAAGTGCAGTGTACGTAGAAGAATATATATATTTCTTTTGGTCATTAACTTTTTTTAATTAGGAAAAATGATTATTTTATTTAACATGTCAATTTACAAGTATATCATTTCAAACTACATTAATCAAAATATGAAATCACGAAAAGTGATTGTAGTAATGAAATAAAATACGTAACATAATAGAACACATAAAGCAAAAGATCTATGGAAGGTCCTAATGTAAATTATAAATGCATTCATCTTTCTCTTTCTTTATATCGGTTGTTGGAGGAGTAGTTTTCTCGCTATTAGCTTTTGATCTTCTATTCATACATTTCTATTGGAAACAATCGGTTGCCTCAAAATCTTTGATTGCAAAAAACTACATTTTTCATCTTTTGTTATCTTATTGAATTTTTGCTTTATTCTACTCCTATCATCTGATGATAACTCATTTTTAGTTCCTACCAGAATAGAATAGAAATGAAAAGGCATAAAATGAAAGAATATCTAATTCCTTGCTCAATTCTGTTGCACAATAACATTCTCATGCAAAATCCATTACGGAATCACAATATGTTGAAAGAACTAGCAAAATTGACATTCCAATGTATAACAATATTTGCTAGTTGGTTATATGAAAATCATCATATTCTTAAATTAAAAATCATAGTTTTATAAAGTAGTGGAAGCAAAAAAATTTAAAAATGATGATATAATACTTTTTTATTATTTTTTATTATACAATATTATCATAATCATACTATTAAATAATATTAGTGTAACTTAAATAAATACTAGCAAATAAAATATATTATCTCAAATAAATTGATGATAGATGGTTTCACATTTTTAATTTTTGCATCGTTCCTCGAATCCAAATTATCATTATTCTCTAGTCACTAATGTCCCAAGTCTAATAATATTTGTTTTTTTCTTGTTTGGTTATATTAGAGAGTGATACGTGTTTCTAATCTAAGAATTTATAAGTTTATTGGTTCCTTTTTTCTTCCTTTCTTTGGGTAGCTTAGAAAGCAGTCGATTCATTCTTGTAACAATGGCAGAAGAAAATTAAAGAACTAATTCGGAAGGACAGATTAGAATCCTATAGATTACAATCATAATTGATTCGGATGTTTAATTATAATTATAATCTTATCATGAAAAATATATTAAATATAAAGGTATTTTAATTTGTTCAAATTTCTATAAAACAATTTCTTATTTATAGTAGTATAGAATAAATATAATTAGATCTAATCATATAGATAGTTACATATAAATAGATTGAAAGTCCATTTATGTTGGTTTTGACAACTTCATCCAGCCCTGAAGAGATGATTGTGATGTACAACAACAGGTAATTTACCACAAGAGCTGAATAAGTTGGCATTCCTTGAGGAATTAAACGTAGACAACAATCACTTGTCCGGTCCAATCCCACCATGGATCTTCAACATATCAACTTTGAAGATTTTAAGTCTTTCAACTAATCGTTTCTATGGAATTCTTCCCATCTCTCCCGAGCTCTCTCTTCCAAATCTCAAAGAATTGTATTTGTGGAGCAATGAACTCAATGGGGAGATTCCGATTTCTATCACAAATGCTTCTTATTTAGATAGACTGGAATTGGCAAATAACTCGTTCAGTGGCCCCATACCAAACTTGGGCAAGTTAAGGCTCTTACGAACGCTTTACATTTGGGGTAATTCTCTAAGTGGATTAGGATTAATCTCTTCATTAGCTAATTGCCAGTTTTTGGAGCACTTAGTAATTTCGTTCAACCCACTTAACGGCATCCTCCCTGATTCCATTGGGAATTTATCAAAATCTCTTACAATGTTTGGGGCACATGGCTGCAACATTAATGGAGTTATTCCTTCTACCATCGGAAACCTGATTGGTCTGCAACTTTTAGACTTATCAGAAAATCAGATCACAGGAGTTATCCCTCCAACAATAGGGAAATTAAATCGGCTTCAAAGATTAATTCTTTATGTCAATCAACTGCATGGGTTTATCCCTCCAAATATTTGTGGGATGAGTAATATAGGTGACTTGTACCTGAGCGAAAATAGCCTCACAGGTCCCATACCTGAATGCTTCAGTGAGCTTAAATCCCTAAGAAATATCTACTTAGGTTCCAACAAGTTGAATTCCAGCATACCTCTCAACTTCTGGAACTTGAAGGACCTTTTGTTTCTCAACTTGTCCTCAAACCGTTTGAGTGGTCAACTTCCATATGAAATTGCAGGTTTGAGACAACTAAATCAACTAGATTTGTCTTATAATCAATTTTCCGGAGACATTCCAAGATCAATCGATGGTTGCGAATCATTAACGTCTCTAAATTTGTCGAACAACAAATTTGAAAGATCCATTCCTACATCACTGGGGAACATCATAGCCTTGAGGGAATTGGATTTGTCTAATAATAATCTTTTGGGGCTGATACCTGAGTCCTTAGAGGGCCTCAAATTACTTCGATACTTCAATGTGTCTTACAACAAATTGGAAGGAATGATTCCCACAGGTGGCCCTTTTGTTAACATTACTGCTCAATCTTTTCTTCACAACTCTGCTCTTTGTGGAGATCAAAGATTTCAAGTGCTTCCATGTATTGGGAGAAAGAAAGTTAATCAGCTGATGAAGTATATTGTGGCTCCATTCGTTTCAGTTATCATATTAACAGCCATTATAGTACTTGTGTTGGTGAGGACACGAAAACCAAAAAGAGGGCTTGCTCCTACTGATGATATTTCACTAGGTGTTACTTGGAGAAGAATCTCATACATAGAACTTGTTAGGGGAACTCATGCCTTCAGCGAAACAAACTTACTTGGAAACGGCAGCTTTGGTTCGGTTTTCAAAGGGGTGCTTTCTGATGGACTAAATGTTGCAGTGAAAGTCTTCAACTCGCAATTAGAAAGAGCTATCCACAGTTTTGATACGGAATGTGAAATACTTCGCAGCATTCGACACAGAAACTTGGTCCAAATAATTGGTTGTTGTAGCAACACAGAATTCAAAGCTTTGGTTCTGAAGTTCATGCCAAATGGCAGCCTCGAGAAATGGTTGCACTTGGAAAACTGTGTCTTGGATTTGATATCAAGGCTGCAAATTGCAATAGATGTTGCATTAGCCTTGGAATATCTCCACCATGGCTATACATTCCCGGTCATTCATTGTGACATAAAACCGAGTAATGTGTTGCTTGATGAGGATATGGTTGCCCACCTCTGTGATTTTGGGATAGCCAAGCTCTTTGATGATGGGGAGAATATTGTTCTTACGAAAACCTTGGGGACAATTGGTTACGCCGCACCAGGTGTCATTCTTATTGTTGAATATCTTAATTCCTTATTTATTATCTTTTTTTCATTTCTTTATTCCTATTTTTCTGTTTCATTCTATATTATTTTTTTCCTAATCCAACGATAATGTCGTGCTTGTGATACAACTAGAGTATGGATCAGGAGGCCGAGTGTCAACAAGTGCAGATGTTTATAGCTATGGCATACTGTTGTTGGAAATGTTCACGAGCAAGAAGCCAACTGATGATACTTTCAATGAAGAGATGAGCTTGAAAGAGTGGGTACTTCAAGCACTACGAGAAAATGCAGTAGCTAAAATCGTGGGCCCTAATTTGCTAGCAAGTGACGATCAGCAATTTCATGTAAAGGAAGAATGTGTCTCGTCTATCTTTGGTTTGGCAATGAGATGTTTGGCTGTTATGCCCGATGAAAGGATGAACATGATGGAAACAACAGCTACATTGCAGAGGATTAAAGCCAAAGTTGTGGCTGACACTACAAGTCATCAACAATATGCATTGTCCATTATTTCGAGACAATAGGTATTGATATATAATACGGCATGGTTTCCAATATTATGTTTATAGTGTGAATTTAAGACGGTGGCATATATGAACAATGGGCTTTCTACTCGGGTTTAAGACGTGCCTACAAAACTATATATAATATCAAACAAAAATATATATATATATATATATATATATAACCAAGTCATCTTCATCTTTCCTAAGCATGCAGGTTTTCCACTGGGATCACTTTCATATTCCAGTATATTCCAGTATATATATACAGTATATATATAATACATTTTCATACAAAAATCTAAATTTAGTAGAGCCCAGAGTAGTACCTTGGGAAAAAACGGCCCTCTTCAGAGTTCAGAGTGAAGTTCTCGAGCAGGCCCTCTAGCTAGGAAGTGTAGTAAGCCCGTTCGCCTTGTCTAATTGAACTTCGACTGGGTCCGGACCAGATCAGGACCTAAGCGGTGTCTACAAGCAGGACAAGCACAAGATAGAACTTGACTAGTGTAACCAACAGTAACACATAAAATGTCTCTATCACGGAAATTAGTTACTACTGGAACACTATCCATTTGAAACATAGAAGCTTATTATACACAAGTGAGGATTTCAGGAAATCATAAAAGATTAGCCATCATATGTGAAAGTAAATATTCAAATGTGTTTGTTTGTTAAGATGCAACTCCGGGTTAACCAACCAAAAGATTTTATTCACCAATCTGTTGCCCTTTCAAGATGTATTCAAAGAACGAATGCGGAGGTATAGTTGCAGTGTATGTGCATCTAACTCTGTCATATAAGCATCAGATTTTTGCCACAGAGATGACATAAAAGATACCACATATTGAAACTGAGTTAACGGTCATATCTAAGAACCTAAACCGCAATCATAAAAACGACAACAGAAGAGAAAGTCCTCCCATCATGCGTACCCAAAAACTTTTATCCAGGGTATAACACACTCATTCACTACATAGACCATAAATGAAATAAAACACACATATCACGATCCGCGAGAATCGAACCAATAAACCATTAATGCCCACAGTTGAATATTACTTTCTCCAGAAATCATAGATCAGGCTGACTCAGAAAAAACGGGGGCTTATCATATACCATCAGATAAACAAGTGATTCATTTTACATTCTCGAGATAGCTTTGAGGGTATGAATAGGAGCAGCAAAAGCAGCGACAACAGCGTCTGAAGCAGCTGGAGTGAAAATACCGGAAAGGGCCTCGCCTATTTGGGGCCGCCTGCGAAATTTCCATTGGAGGACTTTGCTGATAGTTTCGGGTGCGTAGGAAAGAGAGATGGCCGATGCCTGCGAGAAGCTAATCTTAAAGTCGCACTAAATTTTTTTTTTTAGTCGCACCAAGTTGCAGACACGATTTTTGTTATCTCAAAAAATTTATTCTGTAGCATTGATAATACAAGCTCAATTGTAGATTCAATCAGAATTTTTGTTTCGTTAGCAATTTGATTGAGTACCTTTTTATTTTAGCTATGAAAGTCACCATCTTTATATAAAAAGAATAACCTTTTTACAAATTTAGAAACTTTTTCCCGCCAAAATCATTAAATATATCCTAATATAGTAATTGTTGGACAAATCTAAATAGGCAAAAAAATCGGCTCATTTTTTTTAGTTTATCAAAACCGTTGTTTGACAATAAATATTTGTTTTTATTTTTCCTATTTTTAGTATAAATCTACACGTTTATCTCTTTTGTTACAAAATCCCATTGCATACATCTCCCGTGTTTAAAAAATTTCATCCCTTATCTATACAGATTTAAAAAAATAAAATAAAATAGAAACCAATTCATAATTACTACTAGAAATTCATTATCTTTAAAAAGAATAAAATAAAATAGAAACCAATTCATAGTTACTACTGAAAATCCATTATCTACTTTAAGAAGCTAATTTTTATCGGTCTAATTACTAATATTTTTACAAATATTATAAGCTAACCATACAAAAAAGTATAATAATAATTTTGAAATGGTGTGTAATCAAATTTTTTTATATTATCTTATACAAAATAATTTTACATTGTTCGACCCCGAATCTTTAATTTATAATTATTAAGTATTGTTTATCTTCCTCTTTAATTTATAATTATTTTTTTTTGCTTCCTTTTTTTAAATAGGATCAATAGTAGTTTCCACTTGAGTCATTGAGTGACTCAAACTCGAGGTCTATTTATAATATTGTTAATTTAATATTGTTTCCGTGCATCGCACGGGTATACACTAGTATATATAATAAGAATTACCATTTACTAAAAATAGTAGCCAAAAATTTTGGAAACATTAAATGCATACCATTTTTAGAAACTTTTTAAATATACACATTAATTGCTTTCATATACACGTTTTCAAATAAGATATGATCAAAAAATTAATTAAATAAATTTATTAATATCTGCAATACTTTCATTGATATTTATTATAATAAATTACAAGATTGATTTTCCGTGATTCATGTTGATAATATTTTGGTCAAGATAAATATTATTTTGTTAATATTTGTAATACTTTCATTGATATTAGTTGTAATAAATTACAAGATTGATTTCCATGATCTATGTTGATAATACTTTGGTCAAGATAAATATTACACCATATTTTAAGTTCTAACCATATTATAATTTTTTTTTTCACAAATACTCATTTTTTACCCAAAAATATTTATGAAAAATCGTAACATGTTAGGTAGAATTTTTTTTCCAAGTAATCAGACAAAATGAAGCTGGTGAATTAATTTTTGTCAATATATTTTTTTCTTAAGCTTTATTTTATTAAATCTAAAAAATAAATTGTTCTTCAAATTAATATAATTTACCATTTAAGAGATAATGACCATATACATTAAATAGTTTTATTAATGGTAAAAATTTAAAATTGAAATATATTAACTATTTTTTAAAATTTATTTGAATATTATTGGCACCCATGATTATTCTTTTTCATTTTTTATTTTGATTTATTTCTATAATTAAATTCTTGTAAAATAAATTTTCATTGCAGAGTATGTTAAATAAACTATAAATCCTTATAATGAAAATTAGAAAAATCTTGATCATAGAAGGGATTGAGTTTTTGGTATTTTCTAAATCAAAGTTGTTTAATTAGTATACAAAATTAAATTCTAAAAAAATATGTGTATATTCTATAAAATATTTACACACTATTTAATTTTAAATTTATTTACATATTTTAAATTGATTACATTATTAAAATAATACTAACGTGCATTAAATATTTTTCATTACATAAAATAAAAAGAAAAAGAGGACGTACAACTTCTATAACTTTATAAATAATAAATAATAATGACATTATATGACAACAAAGTTTATAATAAAATAATAATTAAGTATTATATGGTGAATAAGAATAAGTAAAATTGTTGTTCTCTCTTGGAATAAATCTATATACTAAAATTAAATTTATATTAGTATAATGTGTTAGTGAGATAATATATTAATTATTTTTACAAGCTAGCCCTAACATGCTCATATTTAATGTTTTAACTAAAAAAACCACGTTGATCAAAAGAGGTGCAAAATAGATTATAACATTATTGTTTATTACACTTAACGCTGATTAAAAGATGTGAAAAATAGATGATAACCCTATTGCTTTATATAATTAAACGGACAAAGTCAGTGAAAATAACTAATTTAATATGTCTGTCACGTGCATCGCACGGGGTACGTACTAGTTTGATTGATACACCTCACATTAAAAAAATAAAAATAAAAAATTGAGACATTTGAAAATCCGACCTTGTAATATTAGGAAAAAAAATAAAAAATCTTAAATGTTCAATTCACTCGTGCACCTTATTGGGAGTGAGCAGAGGGGCGAATTCACATTGGGGCCATTGCCTAGGCACAATTTTATGTGCTAATTACACATAATTACATGTGTTAATGAAAAAATTATATTTATTAATATGTGTAAAAATATAAATACAAGTTTGTATTTTAAAATTTTAAATAATTCTTACAAAATATCATTATTGTTTTTATTTAAAATGATACACCTCACAGACTAGATTCAACGATATCATATTATAACATTTTTAGTACTTATACTATTACTTGATAGATAAATTTATTGTTTTTCAGTTATAATTGATAATTATTTAAATTTTTATTGATAGAGATAGATATAATTATTTTAATTTATATACAATATGAGTGCCAAAATATGACTAAATTAAGTTATCATATGTGAAAAATGATAGTATATGATGTTTGCCAAGAGCACTTCTATTAGTTCTATATGATGTTTGAATGACTCCTAAAATTTATGGCTCATTTCAATAATACATTTGCTTTTTGCAGGAAAGTTAATTACTGCCACTGAACGGTTTGAGAGAAAAATGCAAAAGAGACTTGGAGTCGATTGGTGAAATTCCTACCAACTCACCTCACAGAATTATAAGATATCACCTGAAAGGCTGAAAGTGTACAACCTTTTTTGTTTTCCTTTCGAAGTGCTATAAAAGCATTGAATTTATAGGGATATCTGTATCACATTCCTTATTCAATTGTATTGAGCATATAATGCCTGAAAGATATAATATCATGATTACATATGGATTAAGAATGACAAATGAGTCAGGAAGGCAAAAGAAAATGTGAATTATAACATATCTTAATGAGTCATGACCACTTCAACTACAAATCAAATAAAATCATTATATGCCAGCATAAGCAATTAAGCATTAGTAGTTTGTTCATCTTTTATTCAGATAGGTTGACATCTATAGCCTATAATAGACTCCACTATAGTGGAGGCCTGCACCAAGTTGACGGACGAGATGATGGAAAGAGCTATGGGGGATGGTGTTCAATTTTGGATGAGCCGTACTGACCAACGAGGACACGTGCACAGGCTGTTTTGGGCAGCTTTTCGGTGATGGAAAATCAAGATTGAAACGTAAAAGTAGATGTGAAACCGAAGTGCTAGGATAATTTGGTGAAAACAACTTAAATGCCCGTTTTCCCGTCTTCACCAAATTATCTTAGCACATCGGCTTCACCAAATGATAGTTTCTTGATTTTCATTGTGTTGCATTATCTATATCTATGCTTATAATGAAAGAGTATTTCTTTTGTTGACTTTGTTTCTTGTTCTTGCACAAGTACATAGTGTCTATGCATTCAATCACCAACATGATTCATGTTTTCTTTCAGGAACTATTGACTTGGGATAAATCAACAGTAGCTGAATTTATTTCCAAAAACTATGTCTGGGTATTTTTTGCAGAGATGGACATTATACTCTCCTATGTGCACTTTATT